AAGTAGAACATAAGGTTGACGGAAACCCGGGGACTGCGCCTACCTGATGAGCCCCCAAAAGAACGAAACCGGTCATGGGCTGTCGAAGGATTTTCAGCAACCTTATGAGTAGTACATTACAAGGATATACGGAGAAGAATAGACTTTTTCAACGGACGACTCACTTTGATTGGTCATCTGAGATAGTGATATTATATCAACGAGTTTGAGGGGCTATTTTAAAATCACATATTTTTTCCAGGTTGATATCAAACTGTCACTCAAGTCTTCCGTTGGATAGGAACGCATCAAATTAATGAATACGTCTGTGATTGGTAACCTTTAAGCCATGACGTTTTGAGCAAGCAAACCCACTTCGAAACAATGTTCACTGTAACTGACACTCGTACGGACAGTAATCCGCAATAGGAAAATGGTTGGATGAGCCGTCCTAGTATTAGGTGAGCTTCCTGTGATTTTGTCCTAGCAAGCTGTTTTGCGTGCGATACTAGCCCATGGGTTGCACATTTATTCCTCTTCCTCACAGCAAAACGGACGTGTCACGTGGCTAGTCTCCAAAAGTAGCACAATTTGCTTAGCCCTGTTCGTTCTCACATCTTCGTCTGTACTGTTATGGACGAAATTAGGTAATCCTGGACTAATTTGACGTGATTATTCTGGATATTTCTTGGATAACTTTACATATTGGTGTTCGGAAGCCAGCCGTCCCTAATAACCGAACATCACATCATTTGGACGGATGTGTCACGTGCAGGACACGGGCCAAATGAAGGCATGCCCTGATTGGTCGGAATGCCAGCTAATCCGGGCCGAGCATTCTTGACTGGACGCTTCTCGCCCCCTCACGGTGCTTCTAGCACGACCTTGTGGAACACACTGTGACTACCCTATAAATACAGTTGTAATAATTTTCCTTTGTCTCCATAAAGGGCTGTGTAGAGCTACCGTGTCTTTTGATATTGGGCGAAGCAGGAAGCCAAGGGACCGATACAGAGTCGCACTACCGTCCACCAAGTTACAACAATTGGGTAATTCTAAATGGGCATTTCTTGTGGGACTATGGGGTTCTTGTTATTTTTGGGTGGTCAGTAGTATAAAATGTTATTCAATAAAATCGTTTCCTCAAAATGAATCATTATTACATGTTGACAGATTATCTGCATGAGGGGAACTGCGATGAACAGGGAATAGTGAGTTACCTAATTCACAGTTCATCGTCTGGTTCTAATATGCACAGGACAGACTGCATCAGTCAGAATAAAGTTAACTGTAGTCGGGCAGAAATTGAACGAAAAAACGATTCCAGCGCTTCATTAGGAACTGAGGTTTATGTGTAGAGCCACAAGATGACTTAAGCAAAGAATAGCATTCCTAGAAAGCCTTTTTGAGCGCAAAGCTTAAAGTGTGAATGAGTATTCAGGGAACTCCAACGTTGGATAGAATCACTAATCAGTAGCACGCGTGAGTGTGTTCACATTCAATCGATACCCTGGATCCAGTAGACTTGGCGAAATATAACTATTAATATCGTACTACTACTGTCCTTTCACAAATCCCACCGGGAGTTGTTCATAAGCTGGAAATCTAGGAGAAGTTTTGGCTGACACATCTTACCGCCTTAGTTCAGCAGTACATGATGGAAACAGCAGGAGTCAGTTATGCAGTCTGATTGTTAACTGCAGTGTCTGGTTGATATGTGTGACGCAAATGGATGGATACAGTTAAGCAGCAAGAAGCGGGGTAATTCGATTATTCAGTGTGTTCACGCGGCTATAATTTGAGAACAAACGTTGTGTGTAGAAGGACTACCGTAGTGAGGTGTGGTGAAACACCTGATCAAACATCTCACACAGTCACGTTAAGAAACAGTCTGTTTGTGCATGGGAATAACTGAGAATAGCCTAAGTCACTCTGTTGTTGAATGGTGTAGCCGAATGGCAGTTGTGTATCACAATCCAACACTAGGCAACATGCCGAGAACAGCTGGAGAGCGGGACAGGTAAACAAAGCCTCGGGACATTTTTAATTTCGTCGATATACTATAGGATAAGTTGTTCCAGAACGGTCACGAAGGTGAAGAAGAGTAATAAAGGGCTACGTCAGAACTCACTCGCTGTTTTCCCGAATCCATGTATTTAAAGGAGCTTATAGGGGAGGGAGGCTCCAGCTTCTACAAGTAACAGAAGAACAACAAAATATGTTTTTTCTTGTGCAGTAGAAGAAGTTGAGCCTGGCCAGGTTATTCTTTAGGATGATCCCAAAATGAGTATATGGTGAGGAGAGAATACGAGTTGGTTCTTGGCACAAAGACGTGGTAATGAATACTGGATGCAGGGTTGTTGAAAAACAAAGGACCAAATAACGTAAAGACAAAAACATGTAAACACATCGAATATTATGAGCACAAGCTGCCAAGAGGTTATCCAGGATATCGGCTGAGCACTGTCACCAGCGGGTGTCAGCCCTCCAAATGTGAACAACAATTCACCCAAAACGGCGATAAATGTTATTTCCGCGCCTAGTACAGCTTTTGTTTCCTGAGCTTTCGATCCGTTTGAGTCGCTGCTCCTCACAACAGAGGATGCATGGCAGACTATGGAGTTACCTCTCTGGTTCGTCGCTGTACGAGGGTGGAGTTCTAGAAATTGACGCTGTTCAGCAGCTGAGTGCTGCTTATAGTGCTACTTTTCAAGGTGAGGGAAGAAATCTTCATCTATCGTTGTTAAGCTTGTTGTTTTCGTTTCACTCTGCATTATTAAATGACCCAGAAAGTGAATATATGCTCAGGGGAGACAACGGTAGACAATAGCACATTCATGTTGATTGGTTATTTAAATAAAACTGTGAAACACTATCCCGAATAGTAAAGTCGAGATTTTGGTTAGAGCATTTTGTTAGAACTGGCTTGTCACAAAGAAAGGAAACAAGGACTACTGTAACATGAAGAGAACGTACAACAAATGGCATCAAAGTTATTGTTGCTCTCCTTTATCGTTACGGAGACCACCCTGAAACAGAGCTGGGGTTTTGCGTCAAGTCGTATTCTCGTTTCTCCTGACACATTTGCGCGTTCTGGTCTCACATTTTTGTTGGCGGATCCCCATCCTATTTTACCTGCCCCACTCAGAAAAAATGAGTGGGTTTACTGGGGAAGGGGACAATAGAGGAGCACTTTGGGTCGTTTTATGGAAGTTTGGCTATCCCGACAAATTTGTCAGCCTCATTAAAGCCCGCCACACCAATGCAGTACCGGTTGGTGGCTATTCATTCAATTCGAGGCGACACATTTTCATGTTATGAAGTGGAAATTCTGAGGCTGACTGCGGCGTATAGTACAGCGGTATTTTGCTTTGGTTTGAATGCAAACGTTCCAAAATGACTACGTTATAATAGCATAAACCAGAGTTCAAAACAAACCAGGTTTTCAGCTGAATGGATGAGATAACATGCTGCAAAGGTCTGTGCTACGATTGCAGCACAACATTTCCAAGCATGCCAGTTGATGATGAAATAAATTCACGAACTGCAAAAGGGAGTACATAATTCTATCTCCTTTAGAAACGCGTCTGAAGTCATCGTTGGTAGCATACTGACATCATGGTTATTGGATATCAGTTTGTCACGCTATATTCACTATAGTACAGTAGCGAGACCCGGACTCATTTCAGACGTCAAGTTACTGCTCTTGACCAACCTCACTCACACTATTCGCGCATAATCCCCAGGGTCAGATAAAATGATTGACTTCCGAAAATCGCAGTCCTTCAAAACGCCAAACAATCGGGTTCAGAATGTGGATGCCCGAAATTCCGCTACTGGAATATCCTCTAGGAAAGTTCAAAAAATTGTAACTTTTAGTGTAAATCATAGGAAAACTCGGTACTTAAAAGAAGGACAGTTCCAGTGGATTTAGGTGTTCTTGATCAAAGGGAAAACAATTCGATAATTGTGGGTTACACACTGTGACTTCAACAAAGGTCGTCCGAGGCTTCTTATTTACACCTAAGTGGTAATCAGCCAGAATACATCAATAACCATAATCCAGCAACTTGTGGCTGAGCAGACAATTATGCTTGATACATGGCCATCCAGCTCCCGGTAATCCTCAAATTCGCGCTGAACTTTATCGAAGTTCAGCTCTGGTGTCACTCTAACTAATGTAGACTATTTCAGAGTTACAAAAACAGCACTTGGAATCGGATAAAGTCAGCCAAATGCAGCCACCCTTGCAATTATTCACATGAGATAACAAATGGTTGACTCTTTTCCAAATGAAAACTTAGTCCTTTACCGTAACAAAGCAGCGAAAGGTGCGTTCCACTACGAATGATTCACTGACTGATCGATAAAATGTAGGTCAGTAAATGTACAGCGTCTCTAAGGGATAGGGTTCCACAAAGTGTACGAGTTGAGACAACTTCGGAGGTCACTATCTATTGTCTCCGCTCATCAGAACCATGTTTACAAACTAATCCCGGCCTGCTTCCAGAAGTAGCAAGCCACATTCATTGCCCCACTTTTGTTATTCTTCACCTTCAGGAAGTCCAGTTTTATTTTCTCATGGCAATTGCGGCTAATATGGCTTCGAAATTTCAACCAAGAGTAAGGGTTTCAAATCACAAGTAGCCATTATTACGGGTTAACCAGATGGTACAGATATTTGAATTTCAGAGAAAAAGAAATAGTACTACCGGAAAATGCGAACTGGTTGAACTGATCAAAGATAATGAGGTTAACAGAAGTCATTTACGATCTGGATGATGAAGTGATATAGTAGTTAATCATAATCATTTTACTGTAACACCTGTTTGATGCCTAACATTGATGCCATCTGGAGGAAGCAAGAGGGCTGAGAAAGGTCTCGGACCCAGACGCCAGCAACTGAGATATCTGGGTTGGATTAGAACCAAGGATGTTCCAGTGAGTAAGTTCTCGTTCTAATCATTGAGCTATCTCGAATTCTGTAGTAGTTGATCAGGTGCTAGTGATCTTTTTGCCGATCTTGACAGGTAGCTTGCAAAGGTCCTGTTGAAAATTGAGGAGCAACATCAGTGTGCGGTTGTTTGAGTACTGTCTTCTTACAGACTTGAGATTTTATAGTTTGCAAAGATTATCTGATAGCTGATTTGCTGATTCTAAGACATTTCTCTTTCAATCTCTTTAGTCCCTTTCGAGTGGCTTTGCCCTGCGGTCTATATTCCTTGCATTCGGTTGGTACTTTGAGTAATGTTGAGAGCCCAAGGCAACACAGATGGAATTGGACGATTGAGATGGGGAAAATATGCCTTCCAATCGGCCAGTCACTTCAGCAGGTGTCCGGTAGTCCTCGACGACTATATGAACCCGAGCAAACGAGGAATAACTACCAAACCAAACACGCAGTGGCTATGTCTCCTCGAGTGATGGCGAAACGTCTGCCGCACTCTACAAACAGATCAATGGCTACCCCGCAAATTACTTATGAGCACATCCGAGCTACCATTATTCCGACACATATCCGACGAAGTGATCTCAATCTTAAAGGTGGCAGTTCCCCAACCACAGACCGATGAGAATATTAAGTGTAACTGACAATGTAAATGAGGCTTATATCTTTGAACTGTAATCGATATTTCTGTCAAAACGGATTAGGATGTCAGTAGGTTAGGTAAAACCACGTTGATTTACTTACCACGACAGTGCTGGTTTTGAGAACATCTTGTAACCTATAGAGTGGGTGTACCCGATTGATAACCATTAACTGAAAAATAATCTGCTCCAGTAAGCTAGTCTCAGAAAACACAGAGACAAGTTGGATAAGTTCGTAAGAGAGCAGAGTGGAACAACAGCTACATGTTTATGAGGGATGATCTATCAACTGCTGGGTTTCGGTCAGGCAACGCAAGATCACTGAAGATAGGGACTATCCAATTGTCAACCGTAGCAATCAGGTGTGTATAAATTTTACTGTCTGGATCAGCTCAGCTGTGCCAGGTGTGTTTATGCTGTGCAAACGCCCTTCTCTGGGGAGGCTTTGGAAAGACCCATTTAAACGGCCACTTTCAGCAAAGCAGACTTGGGTAAAGGTGGGGTAGAGGAGGAAAACATACGTAAAATGATGGTTATGTGCTTCTCGCACGCAATGGTCACACTAGTACAGCTTGGATACTTTATCGAGTGCATGCTTTCTTACTATTAATGTGATTCACTCGTCTCAAGTCATGGATGTAACACGTGAATGAACCAGACTTGGTCAACGATCCTTTCCACACTCCCTTCATGAAGATTAAACGGCTTTGACTCCAGATTGGTAAGGTGGATTAGAGCTGGGCAATGCATGTGCATATCTATGGTCATCCAACTAAACCCAAAATATACACCGCATGTTTATCACGTTAAAGCAACTCAGAATTTCCCAGTGAAATGCTCAAGATGGCCCCGTGAGGCTCGTCTACACTGATGGAAACATAAAACTGATTCAGTCTAATACCTAGATGAATGTGTCCAATGGTTCGGGTTTCATATCACTTACTGGATAATTCCTCAGGACATTCAGATATTACGTTTCGTTTATGACCATCTGGTCATCTGAAGTATTGCGTCAGATTGACTTATCATGACAACCTACGAAGTTACAATGAACGTTAACTCACCGATGGTCCACAGTGTCCCAGCGACCAAAGCAAAGATCAATACCACCCATAAAAACCACGGACTGATCAACCGAAACCATTTTCTCATGGTGCGACCAAAACATTATGCGTACTGGCGAGAAATATACCTGGATGGGGGGAAAGCACGCACGCTTCAGAAAGACTTCAAGCATCTTAAGCAAAATGAAACGCATCCCAGTGTGGACACACGATATGACTACACAGCTGCCGTTAATGTCGAGGCATTAGTGTACCAAAGAAAAAACGAACAGAGAAAATTGTGAAACTGAAAACCAAGTGATCAACATACTCAGACGAATCGGGTCTTCTAATCTAGGGCCGCTTTCAGCATCTAATCTTTGAAAGCCCTTAATTTAAGGGGATTCCGCCCGTCTGGTTTAAGAACAACAGCAGTGTTCCACAGGCTAAGGATGAGGAAAGCTCGCACAAAAGAGCAAACAAAATCCTTGACAAGACTAACTCACGTGGATATTTGGATGAAGACTGTGTAGATAACGTGCCGTTTGAACGCTGGAGAACGGGACGATACCTTCGATTCCATTGTACAACATGATGCATACGCAGACGCCTTGTTCCTGTTGGATGGAAGAAATGAAAGTTCGAACCTGAGGAGGACCTACAGAACAATTTTGAGTCTACCTTGTGTTAGGACGTTCAGGTCTTAACGAACAATTCTACCCTGTGTAATATTTCACTGAGATTTCATTTTCTCTCTGTTGTATCCAACTAAGCCGCGGTGCCCTTTCTTTCATTGGTTCATCTGCAATATAGCCGATCTTCCTCTGGTGTCCTTTGTCTTCTTCCTTGAGGTTTCCTCACTCAAGTAACTAGACTCTCAACGTTATAGAATAAAGTGCATCAAGCTCCTAACTCACTCAGCTAGCACCCACGACACTACATCTTGATAAACAAAAGTCTAAGAAGACGGGTTGTTAGATAGAAATAACTACAATCGTATCCAGTCGACTTACGGAATCAGTCTACATGGTGAGAACCCTGGAGTGGGACAGAAAAGAGCTAAACTGGGCATCTCCCGGTTCATGAAGAGCAGAGTATTTGGAGAACCTTTAAGTCATCAAACTTTGAGTCTAACGTGATAGTCTTACGCTGATATGCCGGTGTCTAGTGGGTATACATCCATACTCATATGTCTGGATGTATGAAACTACTGTTTTCCCGGTGGTCGGGCTTGTCTTGTGATGAAACCTATAGTGATTAAAAGATTTGTTTCTTTGAGGCAAAACTCGTCATATAGGTCAAGGGTGGGCTGTCAGAAAAAAGTACTCATCCATAATGATATGCAATCATACGCGTACTCAATAACCTTTTGAGGGGTAAATTTTTACGGTTCTCATAAATACAAAATTTGACCACTTGGTCTGTTGCTTGCCCAGGGTACAACGTCTTGACAGCCCAGGAAGACAGAATTTGATGTGTTCGCATTTGATTTATCAGAGTTAGCAGCGAATTTAATTCACATGACCGAGCCTTGCTCCTCCAAAAGTTTCTTGAATCCGAAGTGCGTGGGTATAGAGTGTTATTTTTATGTGATCGTTTCAATAAGCACGGATAGTTTGTTCAGAATGGTGGCAAAAAATGAACACGAATGTCAAGCAGTGTAAACTACCTCAAAGCATCTTCTTGTTACCTTTTCATTTCACGTCATACGGTCATTCTTGACACAATAACCAAACCGAGCAATTCGACGATATTGCCATTGGAAAACTCCGTGCTTTAAATACTGAATCTGGTTTGTCACAACGGAGCATCCACATCATTGACTTCGGTCGCGAAACATTTCCCCTAATTTGAGTTTTCTCATTGCTTTGAGATTGTCATTACACTCAAACGTGACCAACATCTGGATAGTTTGCAGTCCATCCAGTCCCGAAATACTACCAATGACAGTAGACCGCACGCGCAGGTGAAATGCAATAAACATGTATCCTGGTCTGATCAGTTAAGAGACAGTTCTTACAGATCCAGGGATCGGGTTTTATATGACGATTAACTGCTCTGCTTTTTTCGTGGTATTGTACCCTTCATCAGCGGTTTCATGTAAACTGACTTTCTTGTCCTCCTCCGGTAATATATTCACTATTTTCTAGTGAAAAACATTAGAGATCGGCATATCGAATTTCGTTCGGAAGTTTCTTCGCAGTTCTATCCATATTTTACATCTTGAGCTATGAGCTGTCTTTCAGTGACCTATTTTTGAAGGTAGGAACCTCCCGTCTTTTCGTCTTTGGTTCGAGGCTACTTCGCTCTAGTCTTTTACGAATGAACCTCTGGATATGTCGTTTATGCGACCCCATGTGACTTGAATTTACTGCTTCCTTACGCGCATGCGACCCGATCCCATACAAATGATGTGCTCATGATTATTGGCAGGCAGTTCCACTGCTCTACAATTCCATTACAACGCCCATTGTCAGTGATAACCAACAGAGAGGATATCTAAAGTTATAAAAGGTACCAAATGCAACTGGGCCTTCTTTTTTGTCGCAAGAAAGTTGGCAATAGGGAAAATATTGATGGCGAGCACTGCGTTTAACTTTCTTGTCTCCGCATTAAAAACAGACAAGTACGGGAATCAACGTTACATACAAAGGTAGAAATAGATTCTTACAGCTTTGGCCTGCAGCAGTTTGTCCAGTCTCCATGTGTTCGAATTGACGGGGCGTCGAAGAAATATTTCAGGATTCATGCACCAATCGGTTATGAAAATTTCATACCTAGCTTGTGCGATTGCTTTGGCCACCGCCTCCATATAGCATGCACCATCAATGAAACTGAGCAGGTAATAGGAATGTGGAATCGAGGGGAACGAGATTAACGTGATGATATAACAAAAATATTTAGAACTACATTTGCTAAGTAGTTTGGTTAACGTACTGCGGCAGATTGATAACAAGTTCAACACGTAGCATTTACTCAAATGAATATCGATTCCAAAGACATACGTCGAGACTCGTGAGATGCTATCACTAAGTAGTTTGGTTAACGTACTGCGGCAGATTGATAACAAGTTCAACACGTAGCATTTACTCAAATGAATATCGATTCCAAAGACATACTTCGAGGCTCGTGAAGATGCTATCACTTGGAAGTGAAGTTCCTTTACTGAGAAAAGTAAAAGTTTTAAACATCGTGCGATTGATATGGGCACATTCGTATAGTTATACACAGTGACACTAAATCAAAGCTCTCTAACAGGGTATCAGAAATGTGGACATCTTTATCAGGTGGAACCCATTTAGCTGGAGCTCTTTAGGATCACCCATATTGTCCATGTAGACACATTCACAACACTTTGGAAAAGAAAGAAAATTTTTCCGATTCTTGGGGACTAAGGTGTGGTCTGGCCCCGTTAGATTTACTAACAAGCTTGAATTACGACGCTGTCATACCGTAGATTTCAGACTCCGAAGGATTAGCCAGTTGTACCTCTAGCCCGCCAAGAGTTGGTTTTGAATTCGAAGGTGTCAGTCATCCCTAAGGTCCCAATGCTGTATAGCCACTAACAAGCGGAGTCTTCTGAGTAGTCCTACCGGGTGATAATGTAAAGTACAGGTACTGCCTACAGTCTACAGGATTATTCGGGTTAAGGGCAACAAAGAAGTCGATAAAGCATGCTCATGTAGATTGTTAAACGTTCGGGGGTTTAACACAGGACGAAGATCTATTGATTGCTTGGAGAAAGTGGCACAGTGAGAGTGACACGAGCAGTTTAGTTGCAATATCGCTAAGTTAATTTCAAAGCAGTTAGCACAGGCCGTTTTGTAGCCTTTTGCGGGCATCGACAGTTCAGCTAAAATGTTTGCTTAAGAAATGAATTTCCTTCTCTATATTGAAAATATTAATTTAATCGGTTGATCAAAAAGTGCGAGTGGGCAGCACTTGTGAACATTAGGTGGGATCCAACCTCACCATCTCTCACCTAATTTGTTAAGTTTGGATTTGTTTGACGGTTAAGAATCTAAGTTGACGGAAGGTTCAACAACTGATCGAAATATTGTCTTTCAGCATTCTGTGTCTTCGTTACGGCCAATAAAATGTTTACTGAGGATAGAGCTTCCATGAAGCAATAGGAGATGTAAACGTCGACTGGAATCTCCCAAGCTGAATACGGATTTAATGCATGGTATCATGTACCACGAATGAGAGGTGCGATATCTCCATTCGAACCATGTAGCCTGTTGTTTCGGCATGCGAGAGTTAGATGCTTTGATAAGATGAGCTTCTGCTGTTTTTTTTTGGATAAGGTCATAGCGTATTAACTTGAGCATTCTCTGGTACACCATCATACATAACCCATCTAGTCAGCAATGGTCCGCTGTACTGTCCTTTTTAACAAGAACTGCTGGTTGTTTAACAAAGCCGGTTGGCTTCAGACTGCTTGGGGGTGCTTTGGTTTGCCAAAAGATCCATCAGAACAGTGCCTGTGAGCTTCACGGGTCATTTAACCAGTCTGACAGAGAGGGGAAATACGAGTTGAGCACGCACAAGTGTATGATGTGCATCTACGGTGTTTCCAATCTGCTTTCGATTCTCAGCTAATGGGATCTACAATGTACACATTAGAATATGTTTACAAGAGTGCATAATAATCATTCGTGAATCACATCGAGCAAGTAAATTGCGCATGTTTTCCTGAGCAGCTTCTGCTAGAATGTTCTAGTCACCCGGAATTGTCAACACATCCAGGTTCCATGAACTGCTGGCTACCCGATGCACAGTTGTTCCGTAAATTCCTCAATAGTTTGAGTGCTAAGCTCACATATTGTTAATAACTTCACAGCAGTTGGCAGTGCCCATGAAACACTCTTACGTAAACCAACTGCGTGCACCATGCATCGTATTAGGGGGGGTGGTAGATGGGATAACATACCAGTAGTCCAGCACTCCGATGAATAGAACAAACGACCAAGTTAGAGTTAGACTACACTTTCCATTCATGTTAAAATAGGCGACACTTACGAGTCAACTTAAAAGACATCATCAACACTTGACTGTTCCACTGAAGAAACCTCTTGTTCTCTTTAGAGAGGTTTGTTTGTTAAATTTAAACACGAGGCAATTTTCCTCCGTTGTTGAGTGCTAAAAAGCTCGGAGAGTGGTAGAATAGACATAATCTTATCATGTCTTGGCTTTACTGGAGCCTCAGTCATTGCGCTGTTTCCTGCTCAAGAGCATAGGAGAGGCAAAATAGATGTAATGTTGATCAAGTTCACAAAAGCGCCATCATTGGAAAAGTTGAACTAAGACGAAATGGGTGCAAGACTGTTATTAGTAGGTTTTTATAGTGCGAAGAATGTGCAATGAAACCTGTCAAGAACGACGTTGGCAGCTACAAAAAAGAACGCAGCTTTAGTTGCCTAGAGAGAGCACAGAGATAAAGGCTATTCGAGCTTTCCCAAAAGTGTCTTATGTTCGGAGTGACTGATTACTGGATCGTCGTTGAATCACCGGGTATGCAGTTATCTCAAACGCCGAAATGCTCATTCAGAAAAAAAATATCGGGTCCCCCGAACCATCTTAAATTTATTCGGATGAGGCTTTATTCTGTAACAGAAGCCAAGCTATGATGAGAAGCCGAGAAGCAGTGCACAACCGTCGCACCCTTATTAGGAATCAGTATCAGGGCTCACCTCACGAAACCACAAGGATTTTTTGAACCTATCTTAATGCTGCCGTAGTGGTCATTGGCAAGCTGAGCACTACTAACAAGAACACAGGTGTGAACGTAATTGGACCGCAAAATACACACTTTGAACCGATCACTTTTTAAGACCGACATTTTCGACGAGTGACACAGCAAATCACCGTGGTGCTGTATTCGGAATTAGTGCATATGAGGACTCAAAAGCTTGGAGTAGCCGGAAATCAAAGGTAGGCGCCACCATTGTATGGCCCGAAATTGTGTACAACGAAATCTACATTAATCATGACGGATGGATTGCAAACTTAGCATTGATCGTCAACGACGTATATGTGCAGGCGTTTTATCTGTGAGAAATCAGGCAGGGTTACGAAGAATCTATCTGAAACGTAGCCAAGTTTAAAGACATCCACTATAGTACGAACAGAGCCCTCGCTCTTGGAATGATTTCCTATGGTAAGCGAAAATTAGTACATGTTCTGAAGTACGACGGTTTGCTGGTGCGACCTGATTCTGAGTCACTTTGATACCTGAGAAACAAGTACCGATCGACCTATATGGATATTGCTATTTGGAGTGTGGTGCTCTAACGTATAGCCGATGAAACGCCACACTTGGGGGTATGGAAGTTCGGACAGGACCAGGAAACGGTCATTGCTAAAAAGTATATGGGGACATAACTACAGTTACCCGCCTCTGATATAACGCCGTAAACTGATCATGTTGGACAGATGTTGAAAATTTTTAAAACTGGGTTGCATTATTTTATCCCTCAGCATACAAAAGGAGTCGCACGATAGAAAGTTCTGTTCTCTGAACAAATAAATCCGGCTGGGCCTTTCTATCGTTCTCAGGAAATACTCCCACTTTTCGTGTCAGCCAACCGCGGAATGGGTTTGACTTTCGGATGACTTAATAGTTCCGGATGAACGAAACGAATAGATCCATGCAGATCGATTTTGCAATCATCTTGACAAGCAACACGGTGCGGTATCATTATATTGGTACAAAAGACATTTGGGATCATCGTTCATGTCCAGTAAACTCTGACAATGCAAGTTCAGATACATATAAGTTATCCTTCTATCACCGGCCAAATGTTTCGAATAAACTGAATGTCGGATTATCAGATGAGTAATTCAACTGGAAAGGTAATATGGAAATTTTTTCAAGGCTTATATGGAAGGGCCCTCAGGCATCCCTCCTTAAACCCTATTCACTTTTGTTTTACAGATAACAACACTATTTTGGCAAGATCAAATTAACCGTTTTCGAATGTTCACACTGAGAACTCACACGAATTTGAGTGGGATTCGCAAAAAGGTTCATTGATTGACTGGCTAATCAAGCAACTGACTTTAAGGCGCTAATTGCACTAAAACCTACAAAAGTCATTGCCGTCTTCAATTATTCTGATGCACATGTCATTTGCTACGCAGATTTGGAAAGTAAGTGGCTTCATACATATTTCATGCACCCCAACTGAGAGATTAGGAAAAAACGAGTTCAAGCTTGGCATGCTAATAAGATTGAATGTCCATGTGGTTTTTAGTAACCATGGCTCTATTTTCAAGATGGCAGTATTTCAATTACCTCCTCGTAAAAAACCGTACAATACCCCCTCTACAAGAAATCCTGGAAAATTGGCTGCTTATCAGGATAGTCAGTAGAAGTTATTACCTGCCAGCCCTTAAAAACGTCTCCGGGAAAGTCTGACCGCCTTCCTTGAACAGTGCAAAATTTTGCTACCGGAGGAGTGATTTCTCCCCACTAATAATCTAGACCTATTATTGAAAGACGAGATTTATGAAATGCAAACTGATTCCAATGTAACGTAATACTACGGATGGGGGAGGCATGCAAGTAGTATGTTTTCTTGTAAATTCGCTTTGCGTCTTTTGAAAATGGATATCCGTTGCGGAATTTATGGAGTCGCTTTGCAGAATTTGTTTGCATTTGAGCAACAGTCCATGAGTACCCAGAAAAGTTCAGGAAGACGCGTTCAAGGGTAAGATGGATATTCAGTTTTTGTAAACAAGAGAGTTTTGCTTCCCTTCCACTAGTCTGTAGCTTTTCAGTTGGAATTTTCTAATAAATAACTCCTCAGCGAAGGCCTTATTCATTTCACCT